GTATATATACAGTGGCGGACAATTAAATAGAACCGATCCTCCATTTGCACAAAGACCACGAATTTTCCATTATTTTCACACCCATTCAAAAAGACATCAACAGCTATTTTTTTTGATGTTATCTTAGCTTTCGTTTGGCACCACTTTTGATCAAACATAATTTAGTATTTATTTAATAACTCAACAATTAACAAAGGTGTGTTTGAAAAATGACGACATTTAAATAGAACCGATCGTAAAAATGAATATGAAGTGGCAAAACTTTTGTTTTTGATGACTTCCAAGAGTCTACGCTTCATTGATTTAACTAACTTCTTGCAACGATCAGCTGGTATCTTGTTCCAAGCCGTTTCGATAACTTTGAATAGGGCATCTTTTCGTTTTGGTTTCTGGGCCCTTATTTCTCTATTTACATCAATCAAAAGCATTTCAATTGGCGATAAATCAGGGCTTTGTGGCGGCCATTTCAAGATCTTCCATCCCTGATTGGTGAGGAACGTTTTTGCTTTCTTGGACTTGTGTTTGGGATCGTTGTCAGCCTAGACGGTTGATGTCAGCAAAAGACGTTCTTAATTCCCACATGGAAAATCCAGTTTTTAGGAAGAGTGTTTGAATATGGCTCAACCACATTGTCTAAAATTTCATCCACGTACTGATGTTGATCCATAATGCCTTGAACACGATATACAGGCCCGGTACCTACAGCAGTCATACAACCCCAGATCATGACTGATGTTTTTTTCAAAAACAAAACTTTTTTGAGATAATACAAATGACAAACCTTGCTCCAATCATCGTCAGTCCACGACAAATGTTCTCGGGCAAATTTTAGACGTTCCTTTTGGTTTTTCTTGGAGATAAAGGGCTTCTTTCTTCGACCCATCAATCCATAGCGATTAAGAATTCTTTGAACAGTTCGCACAGTGAGACTTCTTGCGAGGCATCCAATAGTTTCAGAATGAATCTCAACGTAACGCATGTCGAAACAACAGGAAGAATTCACGGCAGCAGCTTTCGAGATTTTAAGTGCGAAACCAATTTCCGCAAAACTCTTGCCCTCTTTTCGTAATTTTCACAACTTTCTGTCTTTGAAATGGTGTGATATGAATCCCATATCTAAAGAGAGAAAACTTGCAACCAACTAATTAAATCGAAAGTTTCGAAAAAAAGCAGATTTCAAGATCGGTTCTATTTAATCGTCGCCGCTATAATGGGGTAGGCTGAAGAAAACCTAAACTACCAAGTTGCAGAGAAAGAACTTTCAGCTAAGAGCGGTGCCAATCGAAAGCTAAGATAACATCAAAAAAAATAGCTGTTGATGTCTTTTTGAATGGGTGTGAAAATAATGGAAAATTCGTGGTCTTTGTGCAAATGGAGGATCGGTTCTATTTAATTGTCCGCCACTGTATATAGGCCTTTAAACGCGTCAAAATATCGTCAAAATACACAGTCGCTTCACTGAATATCTTAACATTTTAAGGGAAATGAAGCGAGGTTTTTCATTTTTCTTTTTTTGCCTTCTTGTTTCTTTGTTTTTGCATGTAGCATGCGCTAGAACTATTGTTGCTAAGCTTTTTAAGCATTACGCGTCAATCAGTTCATTGTTAATGATCTAGAATTGTCTAAAACTCAACATCTGAATCTTTTAAAGTTAAACTTTAGCATAGATAAGCGTGCGCTTTAAGTAAAAGGTGTCATTATTGTATTTTCTTATTTATTTGTCTATATTTCTATGTAATTTTTGAAAATCTTTTCATTTCAGGTAAACTCGAGGCGGAAAACGATCGAAAGATGGGCTTTTGGTCTAACCTTTTCAACGTGAGTATTTTTTGGGTGCTACTACACTAGAGTGGTGCTACTACACTAGAGTGGTGCTACTACACTAGAGTGGTGCTACTACACTAGAGTGGTGCTACTACACTAGAGTGGTGCTACTACACTGGGTGCTACTACACTGGGTGCTACTACACTGGGTGCTACTACACTGGGTGCTACTACACTGAGTGCTACTACACTGAGTGCTACTACACTGAGTGCTACTACACTGAGTGCTACTACACTGAGTGCTACTACACTGGAGTGGGGCCACTAGGAAGGGATTTTGCATTTACTAAAGCCAAAAATGAGAAAAGCCGTGATTTTTCCTTTTTTTCTGGAAAAGTCTCAACAAATGGCTGCTTTGACTCGTTTTTCGCTCAAGAACTTTTTGACTTTTAAAACTCATCCGTGCCAGTAATTTTAGGCTCAACCGCAGTTTCTCCCCCCCCCCCCCTCGCAAAACATGTTAAAATGATGTTTTTTGGTCCCATTTTTCATGCTAAGTACGAATTTCGACATCCCACGGCCGGATTTTGGGTTTTTTTTTCTAAAAATTTTCTAAAAAAACCCAAAACCCGCCAGTGGGATGTCGAAATTCGTACTTAGCATGAAAAATGGGACCAAAAAACATCATTTTAACATGTTTTGGGGGGGGGAGGAGAAACTGCGGTCTTACCTAATTTTTTCATGTTATTGCTACCTGTTTGTTGCGTTGTTGTTGTTATCTTTGTTTAATTTGTTAATTTAAAAAATCAGAAATAGTCGGTGGAGGTAAAGAAAGAAGTTTACACCAACGGAAGTTGAATATTAAACGCAAATTACCATAGCCTGAGCCTATGTGAATTTCCTAGTGGCCCCACCCTAGTGCACTTTTTATTAGACACCGGTTTAAAAGTTGAATTTCACATTTGTAACATTTGCTAGAGTAGGCTAAACTCAGTCTAGCGAAGTTTTTTAATTTTGTCATTCTTATAGCGTCATCTTTTTCTTTTAGAATGCGGAGAAAGGCTTCACTTTCTACCAAACCTACAAGACTTTTAAGGTGGGCCAGGCCAAAAGGGTACTGATCTTTCTGATTTTAGAGGGGGCTTGAAGATCTTTGGACAGATATCAAGGTATATTTTTCATTTTTTCTGCCTAAGATTCAATAGAAACTTATGTGCTCATATTTTTTAAAAACTTCTTTAAAATTCTTACAGGTAGGAGCTTATTATTTTGTTTTATTTACAGAATGGCGACGGAAAGGCTTGGTGTAGAGTTAATGGCCTAGCTGTTGGTAAGTTTCTTTTCGGTATTTAGACATGAAAATCGCTTGTTTAGGTGCTTTGGTTGGTGTTTGCATGACTAGAAGCATCGGGGGCTGCGTGACTGGAGCTACGATTGGTTATGCCGTCGGTGATATCGTCGCTGGGCATATTTTTCCCTGATTCCAAGAAGTCGAAATCCGCTTAAGTCAGCTCTTCTTTTTTTGGTATGTTCTATTCGTTTCACCCATGATTTTTGACTTACGTTTTCCGTGATTCTGATCCCGTTAAGATTTCCTTGCATGACCGATTTTCCCCTCACTTTGAACTGGTTTCACGATAAAAGATTGAGTAAATTAGAAAACACGATCCTTGGAGTTGTTTCCACCGTTCTCATTTTTCTTTTCTATTTTGCACTAGAATTTATCGTGAAGCCACTTCGAATCCCTTCTCGTTTTTGAATCGAAATTTTTGCCCCCGTTTTACCCCAAAATTTGTTATCACCTTCTCGTTTCTTTTCACTTTGCAACCCTTCCATTGTTATTTCACGTTTTGTTAAATTTTTAAATCTTTACTAAGTTGTTATAAGTTTTTGTTTAAATAAAATTTCGAAAAAAACTTTAGAGAATGAATGATGTAAGAATAGCCAAATAGCTGATGATTCCGGACGAATTCGTAATGATTCACATGGCTAACAACTCAGCAATCAAAATAGTAAAACTTAAGAAGTTGCAGAAGATTCTGATATTTTCGATGTCTAAAATGAGCATACAATGAAAAGAAAATGCTTTTAAGAGGCTTGAATACTGTGGTTGATAATATTTTTCCTGGGAAATGTGGATAGGGGATAGGCTTTGCTTTGCTACTTTGCGCCAATTTTTTTTGCGCAACTCGCCATAACTTTCTTCTAAGTCGGCCAATCTTTATGATTTTGATTTCATTTTGTAGATCTCAATAAATGCAACAAAATGACACCAAAATTATAAAGATTGGCCGACTTAGAAGAAAGTTATGGCAAGTTGGGCAAATAACCCTGTTGCGCAAAAAAATTGCGGAAACTAGCCTACCCCGTGGATAGCTTTTATTTCAGAGATACAATTTCACAGTCTCGTCAGCAACTCGAGCATACGAAAAACCATCGGAAAAAGCGGGGTAAAGAGCGGCGATATGACTCAGCAGTTCGCTCACACAGTGCCCACTCTTGAAACTAGACTCGATTTTGGTGCGTCGATTTTATTTGCCTACCTATTTAAAGCAAATCCTTTAGTTTTACCAGCATTTGAATTTCTGCTTGTGAATTTATTCGACGATATGCCGAAATCCAAAAAATTACCGAATCTCAAGGAAATTTCTTCAGAAATGTTTCAAATTTCCCTTAAATCCGAGATTTTTGATGGAAAACTGAAATGGCGAGATATAAAGCCAATTTTGATGATTGACAATTCAAATGTACAAGTGAATAAGTACAATGAGAACTTTCAATATTTCTTTACCCAAACAAAAGCTTCAAGTAAATTTGAAAAGATGAAATTTCGGAGTTTTGGTGATTGGGCTTTTTGTATTCGGAAAATTCCAATCGAATTTTTTGAGAATCGCGAAAATTTCGATGATTTTATACTGGAGATGCATCAAAAAAGCGAGAAAAAATCGGTTTTCGAGACTTTTGAGAAAATCTCCCTTCAAGAAGCTTTACGCAAAATGAGTATCGAATTCGAATTGGATTTTGCTTTTTATAAAGCGAATCGAAAAGAAATGGAAAACGATTTGGGTGTCGAGATTGATGCAAATGAATGGCAGTACTTTTTGGGTGAGTGCTAAAATTTGCTTACTTTTTACTTTTAAACGCCTTTAAATACCCCCACCCATTTTTCCATTAACGATCTAACTTTAATCTCAAATATCTTCGGTGTTCGGCTGATTAATTTAAATAGTCTTGATAGCATTCGATGAGCAAAGTCTTTCTCTATCGATTCGTGGCAAAAAAAAAAACTCTTTCAATTGAAAAGCCCAACACCAAGAAATTTGAGCTCAAAGTTGGATTGAGAAATGGGAAAAAAGGGACCTCCTTAAATTAAAAGCCCAACCCCAGGTTCCAATATGGTTCCAATACGGTTCCAATATGGTTCCAATACGGCTCCAATACGGTTCCAATACGGTTCCAATCCGGCAGAAAATTTCAGATTTCATCTTGAACCATTCTAAACTCATCTATAAGCTTTTATGCGATTTGATCGACGATTCAAAAACGGAATTCGATGAGCGCAATGAAAATGATGAGAGAACTTTTATGCTTTCTGATTTTCACTTTGTTTATCGTGACACTGGGAATTGCAAAGTAGCAAGTGGGCAAAGAGATGGCAATTATTTTGCTTTTCATTATTGGACCTCGTAATGCTTTTGTAATCTTTGAGATATTTGATTTTGAATAAATAAAATGACGAACAAAATGACGAAACACGTTACTCTTGAATTGTCTTGTCTTGAATTTTAAAACACAGGTAATGCTTATTTGATTGAAAATTTGCATTAGATAGCATTTGAATGCATTTCAATGAAATTATGACTTTGTTTTCATAGAGTGAAAAAGGGAAAAAAGAAAAGAAAAAGAAAAAAAGAAAAGAAAAGAAAAAAGAAATAGTAGTTTATTTATTCGACACGACTTTCGACACGACACTAATTGATTAATTACAACACAACGAAGGAATTTTTTTTACCCTTAGTTACTCCTTTTACTCAAATGTTGTTAAGAAAAAAAATAAGACAACACCCATAATGATGGGTGTGTCTTTTTTTTTTTTCTGGCCGTTCTTGCCGCCGGGATCGAACCTTTGACCTAGGAGACTAGGAGACAAGACTTCTATCCGGTCGGCTACGACAGCTTAAACAACTTAAAAAAGGCAAACACAACACAAAAAAAAGAAAAAGAAGAGAATCGATAAAACCCAGGATGACGTAAAATGAAAGCAAATTGAAAGCAATTGTAATATCCGAAATTTTTCTTTTTTTGTATTTGATTGATATTGGTTCCGTTATTGGTTAAAAAAGTGTCTAAATAAATGTCTAAATAAATGAAAACAGCCATTTTTTGGCTCTGCCACCCTTTACTAAAATAGCTGTAAAAACTTTTAGAAAAGAGATATCTCAAAACGGTTTTTACCAATCGATCCGTCTTGAATTCAGCTTTAGGATGAGCTATAAAACGTCAAAATTCGACAAATTTAAGATACTCTCCCAAAAAATCGGAAAGGACTTTTCCATCAACCCAATACAAACTATTCATTATATGCGATCAAGCTTCTGCAATTGTTCTTTGGATTTTCGCATTCGATTGGATCGTGGGCGCCAGGAATCAAATTCATTCGATCCATTCTCTAAAGCGAATGTGTCTTTCTGTTAAAAAAGAAAGAAGAAAGAAGAGAAAAAGCTTATGAGAATGGGCTTATGGGCACAAGTGAAGAAACCCATGCTAACCCATTGCACAAAGGTTAGTCAACAGTTTTTCGATGCTCCAGTTATTTTAGCGATTCAATATTTCACAACACATTCTATTAGGCGGAAAGACTTTTTGTTTCTTTTCGTGCTTCCGTTTGAAACCAATAAATGCATTAATTGAACTACGGTTTTTCTCATCAGAAAGGCCAATTATTTTTCTGCAAAATAACATTTAACATTCAAGGCACGGAATATCCAAACAGTTTTTGTTGATCTCAATGAATCACTGGAGTCAAGGCGCTTAATGTAAAGAAGATCCGAGCATCTAAGCTTAGCGTCAATTTCGAAGCTTTAGGACTTGCTAGATATAACATTCAGGGCAAAAGAATCTCCAAATAGTTTGTGTTGATGTCAACGAATTGGGAATCACTGGGGTGAATACACATCAAGTAAAGAAGTTTTTGAGCATCTAAGCCTAGCGTCAATCTCGAAGTTTTAGGACTTGGTAGATTTAGCATTCAGTGCAAGGGATATTCAAACAGTTTTGATCGTATTTGATGAACTGGGAATCACTGGAGTGAACGCAAGAAGATTAATGTAAAGAAGATTTAAGCATCCTTTTCTAGCTATCAATTTTGAAGTTTTAGGACTTGCTAGATTTAAGACTCAGGGCAAGGAATATCCAAACCGTTTATGCCGTTCTCGATGAATTGGGAATCACTATAGTGAATACACATAATGTGAGGAAGATTTGGAGCATCTAAGCCTATCATCAATTTTGAAGTTTTAGGACTTGCTAGATTAAACATTCATGGCACGGAATATCGGAACAGTTTGTTTTGATCTCAATGAATTGGGAATCACTGGAATGAATACGCATAACGTGAAGAAGATTGAGGTAGCTTTGTGTAGCTATCAATTTTGAAGTTTTAGGACTTGCTAGATTTAACATTTAGTGCAAGGGATATTCAAACAGTTTTGATCGTATTTGATGAACTGGGAATCACTGGAGTCAAGGCGCTTTATGTAAAGAAGATACGAGCATTTAAGCCTAGGTATCAATTTTGAAGGTTTAGGACTTACTAGATTTAACATTCAGGGTACGGAATATCCAAACAGTTTGTGTTGATCTCAATGAACTGAGAATCACTGGAGTGAATACACATAACGTGAAGAAGATTTGAGCATCTTTACTTAGGTGCCAATTTTAAGTTTTAGGACTTACTGGATTTAACATTCAGGGTACGGAATATCCAAACAGTTTGTATCGTACACAATGAACTGGGAATCACTGGAGTGAACGCACTTGATGTAAAGAAGATTTGAGCATCTTTGTCCAGCTATCAAATTTAAGTGGTGCGTGAAAAAAGTGCGTTACTGCTGAATTGTCTAATTTTAAACGCCATAACGCTTATTTGATCCAAAAATTGCCTAAATTGCCTGTAAATCAATGCATGGCCTTGTTGTCATGGAGTGATGAGACATCAACCGCGAAAAAACGACTTAAAAGAGGCAAACACAGAGCAAAAAAAGAGAATCGATAAAACCCAGGATGACGTAAGATTCCGCTCAAATGTAGCAGAAAGCAGTGCGAAGAATTGGACGTTCAAAGTTAGACTACGCATTATGTTATGCATCATGGAAGTTGCGTTGGCCAAAGAACTCACTTATGGACAACTTTGCAAACAAAAGCTTTCCGCAAATGTTTTCAAGCTAGACGAAATTTAGAAATTTTTGAATCGACCAAATCCCGCTTTTGATCATTTAGTTCACATTTTACAATTCTTGTGTTACCTAGGTGAAAGTTTTTGTTTGCTAATGTTTTATTATCGTTTTTTTTTTGTTAAGCTCTTGGATAAATGCTTCTTTAAAGTCGAAAAAAGCTAATTTCACGATCATAGACTTGAAAATTAACAATTTATCAAAATAATCTGATTTGATAGCTAGAAAAAGATGCTTAAATCTTCTTTACATTAAGTGCGTTCACTTCAGTGATTCCCAGTTCATCAAATACGATCAAAACTGTTTGAACATCCCTTGCACTGAATGTTAAATCTAGCAAGTCCTAAAACTTCAAAATTGACGCTAGGCTTAGATGCTCAAAAACCTCTTCACTTGATGTGTATTCACTCCAGTGATTACCAATTCATCGAGTACAACACAAACTATTTGGATATTCCATGCCCTGAATGCTAAATCTAGCAAGTCCTAAAACTCCAAAATGGATAGACAAACAAAGCTGCCTAAATCTTCTTCACTTTATGTGTATTCACCCCAGTGATTCCCAATTCATTGAGATCAACCCAAACTATTTGGATATTCCTTGCCCTGAATGTTGAATCTAGCAAGTCCTAAAACTCCAAAATTGATAGCTAAAAAAAGATGTTTAAATCTTCTCCACGTTGTGTGTATTCACTTCAGTGATTCCCAATGCATCGTGTACGATACAAACTGTTCGGATATTCCATGCCCTGAATGCTAAATCTAGCAAGTCCTAAAACTTCAAAATTGATACCTAAGCTTAAATGCTCGTATCTTCTTTACATTAAATGCGTTCACTTCAGTGATTCGCAATTCATCGAGTACGATACAAACTGTTAGGATATTCCGTGCCACGAAGCTTGGGCTCCATATAGTGACTACACTAATCACTCATTCACGCATTCAGTCATCGTGGGCGGGGTTAAGGTGAAAGGACAAATTTCCTCGTGGGGCAGCTGTATGGGGTTTAAGTTGGACAATAGTTTCCAAGCCAGTTAAAGAAACTTTTTGAGTTCTTATACACATAACTCACATATGGACGGGTATGTGAAAACCGAAAGAACAAGCACTCAGAATATTGCCTCATTTCCTGCGCTCAAACAAAAATCAAACAACCCAAATCTTACAATTAGACTAATGATGTTAAAGATTAGCACAAATGTAATGCAAAAGTTGACTCTTCGGGAAAACAAGGATTAAGGCAACAAGGATGAATTTTGATAAACTGAGCTAGAAGAGTGACGCCATTTGGTACAGTACGGTACAGTACGAATACTCAGTGCGTTTTTTTTCTAAAAAAATTGCGATCTTTCAAGAGTGAAGAAATAGCTAACTGAAATCAATGCCAAGAAAAGTATTTTGATCATACAGTACTGGACGATGAAATATCATATCTGAAAAACGATCGTCACTTTCGCGCGTCTGTAACTCTGTTGTCTTTGAGTTTAAACTATTAGTGTTATACATTTTCTGAAAGCTCTTTTCAAGGGCTACACAATGGTAATATTGATATTTAGAAATACGGTAAAGACAAAGAAGTTACAGACGCGCAAAAGTGACGATCTTTTTTCAAATATGATATTTCATTGTCCAGTAGTGTAGCTAGTCAATCATAATACATACTTTATTCAGGGTAAAGATGAGTCATTGTCAGACTTTTTATAAAATCAAACAAGTCATTGAACGCTAATTTTGAGTCAAATTGAGTATTGCTTCAAAAAAAACATCGATCCACGTTTGATAAGCATTATCTTGATTTATAGTAAACCCTTAGTCGCAGCGTAATTGAAACTGCGTGCACTTGTTGACAAAAAAAACCATTTGTTTTTGTAAACAATTTCATTTTGGTCTTACAATCTCTGAAGGTCGTACTTGCTCTTCAGAGATTCGAATCGAATTTATCCCTTTGAAATATCGAAGAGCTGATTGATTTCTATTGAGAAAATCGAGAAATTTTCATTTACCTGTGTTTTATCTAAAGTTTTCATTTTAATATTTATTAAATCAAAGAATATAAGCTTCATTTTTATGTTTTTCTAATGTTTTTGTTCTTTTTGTTTTGTCAGCTCCGAGCCAAACTGATATTTTAGTTACTATTGTTATTATTGAATGATTTGTCTATTCTTATGCAAATGTGCTCTCCCCTGTGCTTATCCCTTTTATTGCCGAGAAGGGGCGGTCCTTGGGATTGCCTAGGAGGACAAGTGAGACTCTCATTTGGAGTCCCCCCTTCCCCTTATTTGTAATCTATTCGTCTTATTATACTGCTGTAAATAAAGATACATATCTTCCGGGTCTATGCCACTGCAGCACAGGTCTATGCAGCTGCAGTCCAGATCTATACCACTGCAGTACAGGTCGGTCATTTCACAGGGACTCCCCTCTAATACGTTGGAGGAGTTGAGCTGGGTTGTCGGGGTGTTAGAGATGGCGGGATATCAAAAGGGATCCACTCTCTTTAACTTAACCCAAATTCTAGTCCACATCCGTTTATACCTAGGAACGAATAGTTCTTTGTTTGTTTTTTCTAATTTTTTTAGGTGAAAGATACTGGTTCTTTTACTGAAAAAAAAATGCTTTTTTTGGTTTCTAAGGATAACACAAAATTTAGTTATTTATTGTGGCTGAATCAATAATCAACAAAAAGAAAAATCATTTTCATTTCTCACACGGAATATTGGTCGCTTTATGATAGTTCGAGAAGGATCTGACGGCTTTGTACGTGCCAGAAAGGGTTCGCGTCTCGCCACTCTTCAGACGAATGCTCATCTCGAATGGCATTGACACATCACCCACGTGCACCCAGAGATCAATCTGGACTGCACTGTTTGCAGCCAGAGAATAGACGCTTTCCATTGAGTACAACTTTGTCGTGATTTTCTCCTCATTTGTCGTGACTCGAGTGACGTTTCCTTGAGTCCATGTACCCGTCCAACCTCCACCTATCGACGAAGACTTTGCTGGCACGACAGAAGCAACAGAAAACGAGAGACTCAGCGAGTGACTCGAGCTGCGCGATTCCTCTTTACCAACTATATAGGTCATGCTCTCGGTAAAACTCTCCTCGAATCGAAACTTGCACTCGCCTTTTTGAGAATATCTACAATTATCGCAAGTATGTGTGCCGATCAAGGCTGGCTTTCTCTCCATTAGCGAGCCGATAGTCGAATGGTGTTTCACGTCAAAAACTTCGACGACCACGTCATTTTTTTTGTAGTACTCACAGGCTTTGCTGATCAGGAGCTCAGCGGACAAGCCCTTCAAGCTGTCTAATGTTCCGTAAGATTTTTTGTGAAGCTGTTGAGCGATCACATGTCGAAGACCCCAATGATCTTTGTAGCGCCAAAAAGACGCCCAATTGTTGGCGTGAAGAATATGAAGCATGGCACCCGTGTGAACGAGCCAACCACCCGATTGCCCAGCATAAAAGGAGTAAGTGTGACTCGGCATTTGTTCTTGAATCTTTTTGATCAGAAAATCGCGCTCTTCCCGCTCGTCTAAGCTCTCAAGTTGTTGACGTGTTTTCCAGCCTGTGTAGCACAACAAATCGTCGATCCTGTACGGGTTGCAGTTCATACAATCAATCGAGCCATCCTCTGAAAGTTTTGTTGATTTTTCTTGATGTAACACCCAGTTTAAATACCAAAGCCCCGGCAGAGTGTCCCAAAATTATGAAGCGGATCCTATTTTGAAAGATTTATTATTTGATCTCAGTCTTTTTCTTACTTACTTATCGTAAATGCTGTTGGATCAAAAATCTGACCACTTCTCCATCTTTCTCTTCTCCGTTTACCCCTAGTTACATATCCTGAGATGAGAGCTCGTATGCTAAGCTCCGGGAAAGTTTCCGCTAGAGTTTCCAGGAGCGTAGCAGTCACCGGAGCGTCAAAATTTTCCCTCGCGAAACTTTCCCAGAGCGTAGCATAAGGGGTCAGCTAAATCGTGGTAAAAGACACACAAAAACACCCTTTCAAAGTTATATAAAAGTAGATTAAACTAAGTTAATCTTAAACTGAAGTAACAAAGCAAAAAAAATGCAAACTTACTTGTTAATGATCTGTGAATGATAGAGATGAAAATGATCTGTGATAGCCACATCATCCACAAGATTTTCGTTTCTCGTGAAAGCTGAAAGCCCAAAGCTGAAAGCCGAGAGCTGAAAGCCTTCAATTTATAGGAAATGAAAAAGGTTTTTGTCTTGTTGTTTTGACTTGAGAATAAAAATAAAGCATGGGAAACACATAAAGTTTCTCAAGATAAAATCGCAGCTGTTATTTACTGATCTTTTTACTGCTTTTAAACAACAAAAAGTTGTTTTTAATGACTAATTAGTCATCAAAAACCACTTTCCTTTTGGACATTTCATGACAAAACAAAACATTTCATGACAGAAACAGTTTTTCTTTGTTTTTCGATCTTTTTTTATTTGATAAAAGAATGCCCCATAGCATTACTGTTTGAGAAAAGAAATTCGTTGGGTAAAAAAGTTGGATAAAAAAAAAGGGGGACCCTCTTGATTTATTTTTGTCAGAAGGGAGGAAACGGGTATAAAACAGCTAGCCGTTTGACTAGTTTAGCTCACATTTTACAGCTGCAATTCATCATGAAATGTTTTGGCTTTTTTTTGGCTTTTATTTTTATGTTTTATTCAGGTAAACTTGCAAAGATGCTTTCGTTTATAAGCTATTGGGTTGGTGAATTGAAACTGCTCGACTTTGAACTAAAATTTATTCAACGTAAAAACATAAATTCATTCCAAATAATTACCATTATTATTGACGACTTCTGCCCATTTTACAGGCAATTTGCGGATTCCTCTTTCGTGGTAGGATTTTGGTTTGTGTGTGAGACAAGTGTGAGACTCCAAAATGGAGGACTGGAGATCTCCAATGTCCCAGTTTGAGGACTTTCTTCAAAAGAAACCCATTTTGGTGCAAATGGAAAAGTTGTAGAGAATCAAAAATTAGGCTTATAGCCAAATTTTCAAAAAGATACACTTAGTAGTTTCGCTTAAAATGAAAGTTTTGTGAAAATTCATAAATTTGGCACTTCTTGAAAACCAGTTTTTGAATCGTTCTGAAAATTTGGATATAAGCTTGATTTTTGATTCTCTACAACTTTTCCATTTACACCAAAATGGGTTTCTTTTGAAGAAAGTCCCCAAACTGTCACATCTGACAATAGCCGGCAGTTTTCAATTCACCAAACCAATAGATTGATATTAGCCTTGACTTGAGGCTATCTAATCAATATCCAATTTGAGGATTCGGAGCCGGCCAGATTAGTTTAGCAAAGGGAGAGGGGAGGGGGTTATGTAAAAGCCCTGCGCCAGACGACGAGCGATTACCCGGCCGTACAAAGAACATACAAAACACAAGTTTTAAGCGAAACTACTAAGTGTATCTTTTTGGAAATTTGGATATAAGCTTGATTTTTGATTCTCTACAACTTTTCCATTGACACCAAAATGGGTTTCTTTTGAAGAAAGTCCTCAAACTGTCACATATGAAAATAGCCCGCAGTTTTCAATTCACCAACCCAATCAAAGCGATACTTTCCGGTTATAACGACTACCTGCATCTATGCTATTTACAACAAAGTTTGCATACAATATGCATAGAAAAAAAAGTCTAGAAATGTATAAAAGCCTTACCAAAAAGACTATATTGATGAATTTGAGTTTTTTCGGGGTAATTCCGGTTCTTTAAACGGTTCATCACATTTCTATGAGATTCTCTGAATCATTTTGATCATTTAGTATATCAATAAAGTTGTCTGAAATAAAAAGCGTTATCAAAAAGACTATATTGATGAATTTGAGTCTTTTTCGAAGACTTGGAACATTTTGAGGAATTTGAGACGGTAAATGAAAATTTGAGAGCAATAACAGGAAAGTACCTTAAAAACTTTTATTTTTTTAGAATCGACGAATGCAGAGGCATGGTTTACGGTTGGTTTATGCTTTTTGAAGTTTTGCGTTTTGTTTTGAACGCTTGCCGCAAAAATTGTTTTTTTTTTTGGATATACGTAATATTGGACGGTCGCGTCCGTTCCCTTCCTATTTGCGTTTCTATTTGCATTTAATTTGCGTCGCATTTTCGTCTGGTTCTCGTCGCAAACAAAAAAAAAATTGTTTTTTTCGGTTTTTCGACAGAATTTTTTGGTGTAAGTGATAGTTCCTTTCTAGTTCCTATTTAGTTCCTTTAAAGTTCCTTTCTAGTTCCTTTCTAGTTCCTTTATAGTTCCTTTATAGTTCCTTTCTAGTTCCTTTATAGTTCCTATTTACAGTGGCAGACAAAAGTTTTGCACCACCCTACAAATTCAGCAAAAACCGCTATAAAAATTTAAGTCAAAGTTTCTGGCAAACTTTAACGTTTTAGATAGAATTGGTATGATTGAATACAACAAAAAATAATGATATCTCGTGGGTTTCCCTTGACTTCAAAAAAATGCGGTCCAATTTTTGCTTTTCCTTGTGGACAAAAGTTTTGCACCAGCTTGTTGGGTGACGAGAACCTGAAAAAAACAGGATTTTATGTCAACAAATTGGAATAAAACTTAAATAGAACAAGAAATGGCATCAATATTTTGTAGGAAAACCATCAGAATTAATAACAGCTTGGCATCTACGGCCCATGGAATCAATTAAACGATCAATAAACTTTTTATCGATTTTCAGCCATTCTGCTTGAAGATGAAGCACTAGATCAGTTCGACTTGAATGTTTGCGTGTTGATATGCGTTTGCCAAGCTCGTTCCACATATGTTCAATCGGGTTTAAGTCTGGGCTTTGACTTGGCCATACCATTTTCTTGATTCGTTTCTGCTGAAGCCATTGTTTGACAAGAGTCGAAGAATGTTTTGGGTCGTTGTCCTGCTGAAAGATCCATCCTTTTAGCATATTACCACGAGCAAATGGAAGCATTTTGTTTTCCAATATTTTTTGATACTGAAATCGATCCATTATGCCATCGATCGTGATGAGAGGGCCTACGCCATTTGAGGAGAAACAGCCCCAAACCAGCACAGATCCTCCGCCATGCTTCATAGTGGGTTTGAGATATTTGTTATTGTATCTTTGATTGATCGGACGACGCACATAACGTTTTCCATCAGAGCCAAACAAAAGAAACTTCGATTCATCTGACCAAAGCACATTTTCCCACTGTTTTCGCGACCAGTTTAAATGTGCCTTTGCAAACTTGATTCTTTCTCGACGATTCTTCTCGCTAACCATCGGCTTACGAGCTGGCAGACGAGCATGCAGTCCAAAAGCATTTAGCCGACGTCCAACTGTCTTAGCGCTAACCGATATTCCTAATTCGGTGAAAATCTCTCGTTGAATCGTAGCGGCGTCTTTAGTTGGATTGGCCATCGACTTCAGCCTGATCGATCTGTCGACCCTTGGAGTCGTGACTTTTTGTCGTCCTTTTCGTGATTTATCCTTTAGAGCTTCACGTTTTCGATATTTCTTCATTATGCGAAGAACAGTGGTCGACATGAAATTGCTCTCCGACTTTGCGAGAACTCTTTCCATCCTTGACTGCCTCGATGATGAGCTTTCTGACTTCGACGGTCGTATTTTTTCCCCTCGGCATCGCTTTTCTAAACTTGCAAACTTTAATATCAAATTTAAAGAACATAAATTATAAGAATTTAAAAATTAAAAAAGTAATATTAAATATAACATAACGCAGAAACAAGGATAGTCGCTTGTGGTGCAAAACTTTTGTCCACAAGGAAAAGCAAAAATTGGACCGCATTTTTTTGAAGTCAAGGGAAACCCACGAGATATCATTTTTTTTTTGTTGTATTCAATCATACCAATTCTATATAAAACGTTAAAGTTGACCCGAAACTTTTATTCAAATTTTTATAGCGGTTTTTGCTGAATTTGTGGGGTGGTGCAAAACTTTTGTCTGCCACTGTAGTTCCTTTAAAGTTCCTTTATAGTTCCTTTATAGTTCCTTTATAGTTCCTTTATAGTTCCTTTATAGTTCCTTTATAGTTCCTTTATAGTTCCTTTATAGTTCCTTTATAGTTCCTTTAAAGTTCCTTTATAGTTCCTTTATAGTTCCTTTATAGTTCCTTTATAGTTCCTTTATAGTTCCTTTATAGTTCCTTTATAGTTCCTTTATAGTTCCTTTATAGTTCCTTTATAGTTCCTTTATAGTTCCTTTATAGTTCCTTTATAGTTCCTTTATAGTTCCTTTATAGTTCCTTTATAGTTCCTTTATAGTTCCTTTATAGTTCCTTTATAGTTCCTTTATAGTTCCTTTATAGTTCCTTTATAGTTCCTTTATAGTTCCTTTATAGTTCCTTTATAGTTCCTTTATAGTTCATTTATAGTTCCTTTATAGTTCCTTTATAGTTCCTTTATAGTTCCTTTATAGTTCCTTTATAGTTCCTTTATAGTTCCTTTATAGTTCCTTTATAGTTCCTTTATAGTTCCTTTAAAGTTCCTTTAAAGTTCCTTTCTAGTTCCTTTCTAGTTCCTTTATAGTTCCTCGCTCTTTTGTTTTGGGGGTTTGTCTTCGTTCTTTGGGGAATTGAATGTTTCTATTCATGTGCATGCTTGTTTTTGTAATGGCTATCATTGCATTTTTGATTTTGTACTAATAAATCGTAAAATTATAAATCCAATTTGCTTTTACGCTAGTCTTAAGAGTTGTACTAGCATTTGTGTTGTCATCTAGCATGAGCATTTGTTACTAGCATTTGTGTTGTCATCGACAAAGAAGCGTCAATGCGTTTTGTACTCGTGTCACGAGTGTTAACCTTATGCTGAATGTTGCGTATTCTCGTTATGTTGTGAGCGTTTTGGGGGAAACTCGTTTAACCTTTTGTTAACCTTTAACTACTGTTAACCTTTAACTACTGTTAACCTTTAACTACTGTTAACCTTTAACTACTGTTAACCTTTAACTACTGTTAACCTTTAACTACTGTTAACCTTTAACTACTATTCCGAAACAAAATCATCCCCGATGATAAGGTTAAAGCGGGTTACACCGCGAACTAAATAGTGAAAGTAAAAAAAAGATAGAGTAGAGATTCTTGCAATTAGCTTTAGTTTTTAGATGAAATTTGAAAAATCTTATCCTCTTATCTTATCTATTAACAAAGGTATGTACTCGTGCTTTTAAAAAACCCAAAAGTTTTCGCAATGCAAGGGCAAACTTTTCAGGTTCACGTTGAGCCAAAGTGTGTGAGTGGGGCTGAGCCGGTTTGTTTCCGAAGAAGGAAAAAAAAAAGCCATTGACACAAATTTCTAGTATTACCTGCATCTAAGCTTGATGGAACACGACGAAAGTAATGCAAACGATGTTGAAGACGGAAAACTATGTGAGAGTAGGATTTGGATGCTTGAAACAGTACATTGGGGATGATGCTTTCAGAAGGATGCACGCTGAGAACAAACGACAACGACGATGCGGGACCGCGCATGGAATTCTACCTCAAAGCCTCATTCAAATGTGCCATCTGGGATGTAAGTGTCGTTTACATTAAAAAGACTACTAGAGCCTTCAAAAAAAAAGAAAAGTTTCCAATTACTCATATAAAATGCATCTTTGTGGATCATTCAAAACGGCAATTTTCCAGCAAGTCGTCGAGCATTGTTTTCATTTCGACTACACTTATCAAAATGTGGACTACACAAGCATCGTCGAGCTTCATCTTTCCCAAAGTCATAAGAGTGGTGATTGGTGGAAATCTGACAACGTGTAAGCATTCTAAACAAAGTCGCTTACCGATGAGCAAACTTAGAAAGATCTACGGGATCTACTGGTGCTAGTTGAACGTTCCGAGAGCTCGAGAGATGCTCACAATCGTTCACAAAAGCGATACGTTTGCAACTGAATAAACTTTGATACTACAGTGATGAAAACATTGCCCACTTTCTCAAGTAGAGTGTGCTCCTCTCAAATCTTAAACAACGACCAAGCGAGAAGCAGGCCTCTACAAAGTCGGTCCGCAAAATTTACAATAACCGATGACGATGAAGGGGTTTCCTATACGTTAAAGCCCTTTGCCAGAAAGTACGCGATTGTGCGCGCGCACAAAGAACACCTAAGCGATTTAGTTCTCGGCCGTTTCAGCCATACAGTATGACGGTTCGGGCTCATTTTTATGTCAAAAGATGCGCCTTGAAAAACTGCGTCGACTGGATCCTGGGTTTATTTGGCGAAAAGTAAATTTGAGTGGTCAAAAACGAGATTGAAACTTTAAAACTGTGATCTCAACTTCAGTTATAGTGGAAATTTGGGGTTTGTTTGCTTAAATCTTTCAAGGGTGAGGCTAATTCTTTTGAAAATTACATAAATAATGAAATTTCCTAATTATCAAAGCAAAACGTACGCAACTTGCGCTCGAAATTCGCAGAAAAATATGAAATCACATCAAAAAGTCGTTTATTTTGTTTATTCTTTTGTACTTTCCGTCAAAATATAACAAAAACAATTGTGTTTTTGGTATTTACATTAAATATCAACTATGTTATAATAATTAGCTTGAGAAAATTGTGGTCAGGAATCATTTTTTGGTTCCGACAAGATTTCAAGAATTCATTAATAAGCCTGAGAAGCGTTGAGGAACTTTTCGAAATTGATTGTTTCGATTGTATGATATTTCAAAACGTTTTCCATTATTGGATATACTCATATTTTTAAAATGATCAGTGGAATTGACGGGATTTTGTTTCAGGTGAGCTGGATCTGTGAGCAAGGTCTTGATAATGTTGACATACCGTAAATATTGTAATTGGACGCCATTGCTGTACTACCATTGCCGTACGGCCATTGCTGTACTACCATCGCTATACTATGATTGCTGTCTACCATTGCTGTCTACCATTGTTGTACTACCATTGCTGTCTACCATTGCTGTCTACCATTGCTGTCTACCATTGCTGTCTACCATTGCTGTACTGCCATTGCTGTCTACCATTGCTGTCTACCATTGCTGTCTACCATTGCTGTCTACCATTGCTGTCTACCATTGCTGTCTACCATTGCTGTCTACCATTGCTGTCTACCATTGCTGTCTACCATTGCTGTCTACCATTGCTGTCTACCATTGCTGTACTGCCATTGCTGTCTACCATTGCTGTCTACCATTGCTGTCTACCATTGCTGTCTACCATTGCTGTCTACCATTGCTGTCTACCATTGCTGTCTACCATTGCTGTCTACCATTGCTGTCTACCATTGCTGTCTACCATTGCTGTACTGCCATTGCTGTCTACCATTGCTGTTTACCATTGCTGTCTACCATTGCTGTCTACCATTGCTGTCTACCATTGCTGTACTGCCATTGCTGTCTACCATTGCTGTACTGCCATTGCTGTCTACCATTGCTGTACTGCCATTGCTGTCTACCATTTCTTTACTATTGCCTTTTATACATCCATATAGCCAATAGGCATCAGTTTAAGTACTTTTTATTCGAGTCTAGTTTTTTGTTTAGAAAAAGACGCTTTTTGACTCCCAAATTAAGCTTAGACGATGGTGTACAAGTAAAATATTCAAGAAATTCAATTATTGCAGATCTATGAGTTTTTACATCCCGGTTTATTGGCTATTTATACAACCGATTGCGCCACAGACGCTCAGCGTGTACAGCTTCAACCTAACACTTTGAAAGGTTTTTATAGAGAATTTTTCAAAACGATAAGGTTCTCTCAGGGTGCTTCTTTCTATTAATAGGGATCATCTTTGAATTCTTATATGCACTTTGTATGAAGGCCATGTTTCAACGAAAGTTTATGCAAATAATCCCTTATCGAATCTTGTGAGTGAGCAAAGAGATTCAGTTGATTGGTGGCTTTTCTAGGTTTGCTATTGGTTGTCTAGACATGCTGAGCATTGTTTTGAACTCGATTTTGCCAGGTGATTACTGTTGTGAGAATTCTGTGAGCAGTTATTGCATCATTGCATTGCATTTTTCAATTTCCAGGCTATTGGCTCATCACCGCTCAATCGTTTTGTGAAAGTCCGTTGCTGAATTTGTACATTGGATCGTTTACTTTCCGTAAGCCAGTTTTTTGTTTTTGTAAAGAAAGTATCGTTAAAATTGGAAAGCAGAAAAGAAACTTGGAAATGCGAATTGAATGAGATTGATGAGTTCAATTTGATAGCTGTTGATAGCTGTTGATAGCTGTTGATAGCTGTTGATAGCTGTTGATAGCTGTTGATAGCTGTTGATAGCTGTTGATAGCTGTTGATAGCTGTTGATAGCTGGTGATAGCTGTTGATAGCTGTTGATAGCTGTTGATAGCTGTTGATAGCTGTTGATAGCTGTTGATAGCTGTTGATAGCTGTTGATAGCTGTTGATAGCTGTTGATAGCTGATCAATTCGATAGCTGATCAATTCGATAGCTGATCAATTTGATAGCTGATCAATTTGATAGCTGATCAATTGATAGCTAGATTGTTTCTAGCATCTTGGGCAGCATATGTTGGTCTCAACGTTTCACTCAGTATCAATCGACTCATCGATTTCACATGGCCAAGCTGGGAGATGGTAAGAGTTTGTTTGATGAAGCATAACTGAACAAAAACATCATAGAAACTATTTGGTGGGAAACGGATCGTTTTATGGACCGGTTTACCGACACTCTACGGTTTATTTCTTTATTTTTTCTTGCCTCCAATGCTTTACTATCCTGGGACGGGTGGTTACTATTTTGGGATCGAACCGGGGAAAATTGAGGTCAAAAAACGATAAAAAACGATAAAAACGATAAAAACGATAAAAACGATTCGTTTAGACACGCTAAAAACGTTTAGACACCGCTCTACTATTCAATTAGCGACGCTAGCGTGGCGACAATAATGTTGCTTCTGAATTTGCTTATGATTAGAGCCATGTACCGGAGAAATGCGGCGATGATGACAAAATTGCAACGAGTGGTCGGTGTAGAATAGAAATGTTTCAGATAGAAATAGAAATGTTTGCCTGACACCTAATTTCATCTTCGTTTTCTCGGCCACAAATCATTCTAAAATTTTGGCTTATAAGGAGATTTTCCTGGTTTTTACCATTGCACAAAATTTCATAAAGATTTGCGCAAAGGTAGCAAAGCGAAAAGGCATCTTTTTTCTTGCTGATTCTTGCTGATTGCCTTTCTTTTGTATTTCGAGATACTTTCTCTTTTCATTTCTTTTCATTTCTTTTGCAATTACACATCATACACATCTACCTGAGGGAGTCGATCCACTTAAATGATCTATAAGTCAAGATGTAAAAGATGTTTCACCAAACAAGACATATTTTTCGTTGCAGAAAAACAGATTTGACACAGGAAAGCCCTTTAATTTTGGTTTTTAACAAAAATATTTTAACGTAACGATTTGTTTTTGCTTTTAGACGATAAACGTTTCGATTTGCACATTTTTAGGTTCTCTTCTTTTTTTCTTTAATCTTGAATTCAGTGTTTATAAAACTGAAATCGTTGTACCAAGTGCAAAGCGTTTGTCTCCGCAAAGATTTTGAAATATAAAACCCTACCAGTTTTGGTGGCATTGTTTATATGACAACAAAGTAACGAATTCAAGTACTTTATCTAGAGTATGATAGCAGTAGAAAACGTAGAAACGTCACGTAGAAACGTCACGTAGAAACGTAACGTAGAAATGTAATGTAGAAATGTAATGTAGAAATGTAACGTAGAAACGTCACATAGAAATGTAACGTAGAAACGTCACGTAGAAACGTCACGTAGAAACCTGACGTAGAAACCTGACGTAGAAACGTCACGTAGAAATGTAACGTAGAAACGTCACATAAAATGTAACGTAGAAAATGTTGGTGAACGTGGAAAATTTGAAAATGTTTTAGGATCGAATTTCTTTAAACAAAAAACCACTTAGATTATGATTCAATGCCTTGGGATGAGTGTGACCGTTTTGTTATGTGCTTGGCTTTATGTGTTGATGCAAATCGTTCCGATGCCTCAATTCATGGTCACTGGCGCAAATTTGTTTTGGATTTTGTCGAATGGTGAGTGAAATGAATGCGAAAAAAATTGTCTAAACTTTCCAGGGAGCATGATGATTTTCTATCTTTTTGTCAACAAAGCGATGAGGAAAGAAGTGCAAAAGATTTTGAGGAAACACTGTTTGCTGAAAGTGAAACCAAAGCCTGTTTATGGTTGTGAATGTAAATGATTTTGGGAATAAGGGAAATCAGAGTTGGATGATGTTTGAAGTTTGTTTGAAATACGATAATCGTGTGCCGAATATTCGACATCAAATTTAAATTTGGAATTTAAACAATCAATTGTATTGTATTGTATCAATCAATTACCTTTTGTATTGCCAATTTTCGTGTAGATGGAGTTCGTGTACTGAATAGACGTTTTCCATTTCAACGTTTTCCTTGAATAGACGTGTTTACTGAATAGAATATCTTTAACGTTGATTTGTTTTGTTTAAATGTTTGTTGCATCCAGATTGATTGAATATCTTCATCCTGGGGCATAATATTACCCAAAAATCACAGTAATTCATTAATTCAACAAGCCATCAGTAGAAAATGAACAAAGGATTTAATTGTGAGCGTTGCTGCATGTTGAAAACTGAACAACGACAGGCACATATGCAGTTTCAGTTTAAGCTTTCAGTTACAATCAATTTGGGATCTAAACAATCAATTTGGATCTAAACAATCAATTACATTTTGTATTGCCAATTTTCGTGTAGATTGTATTGCCATTTAAGCCGTTTACTGAATAGGATATCTTTAACGTTGTTTACTTTATTTAAGTGTTTTTTTGGATCCAGATTGATGGAATATCTTCATCCTGAGGCATAATATTACCCAAAAATCACAGTAATTCAACAAGCGATCAGTAGAAAGTGAACAAAGGATTTAATTGTGAGCGTTCTGCATTTTGAAAACTGAACAGCGACAGGCACGTATGCCGTTTCAGTTTAAGCTTTCAGTTACAATCAATTTGGGATCTAAACAATTAGTTACCCTTTGTATTGCCAATTTTCGTGTAGATCATTTAGCCCGTTTACTGAATAGAATATCTTTAACGTTGATTTGTTTTGTTTAAATGTTTGTTGCATCCAGATTGATTGAATATCTTCATCCTAGGGCATAATATTACCCAAAAATCACAGTAATTTAACAAGCGATCAGTCGAAAATGAACAAAAGATCTAATTGTGAGCGTTGCTGCATGTTGAAAACTGAACAGCGACAGGCACGTATACAGTTTCAGTTTAAGCTTTCAGTTACAATCAATTTGGGATCTAAACAATCAATGACCTTTTGTATTGCTAATTTTGTATTGCCAACGTTGGCAAATCATTTAACCCGTTTACTGAATAGAATATCTTTAACGTTGGTTTGCTTTATTTAAGTGTTTTTTTTTGCCAGAATTTTGCGTCTCTTTTTTCATTCATTAAAGGGAAATACAATTCTTGTAAATCGAATAAAAACTATTGTTTTCGTCTTTTCGTCTAAAAAACTAAGTTGATTCGTCAGATTGCACGTCAATTTGAAAAGTAAAGGGTTTATTGCAAAAGTCAGAGAGTTTCAGCATTCGGAAAAATCATTTTCGATGTCTTATCTCCCAAAGCATGATCGCTAAAAAAATAATCGCCGAAATGAGCAACATGAATGTCCAAATGACAGCTCGATAATTTCTCTAAAAAAATAAAAAAAAACGTGTTTGCTTGATATTCTTGATATCGATTGATGCTAAAATTTGAGTTAAAACAAATTTAAACTTTTTTTTGATGAAATAGAAATAGATGACTTGGCTGACTAGTTTAAGGCTTTAGTTTAAGGCTTTAGTTTAAGGCTTTAGTTTAGTTTAAGTTTAAGGCTTTGGTTTTAAGAATATTCTCTTTTTTTCTTCTTCACTTTTCACTTACCAACCATGATCGTTCTTTTCTTTCTTCTGGTGGGATTACTGGTGAAATTGTTGTCGACTGTTTCGGTGTTGTGGCATTACTTTCAATGATTTCAATGATTGGGGCTTTTCTCGTGATTTTCCACAAAGAATCAAATGAATCTTTCTCTCTTTCGACCATTCTGCAAAAGGAATTTGAGAAAATTTATTAAGGATTTAATATGGAAATCATCTAATTCAAAAATTCACAAAAAAAACGGTTTGTTTATATTGTTCTTATAAAAGGACAAATATAGAAAATATAGTTAAAAGTATGAAATAAAATGATTTTTATGTTATTAATAAATAAAAGACTTTCCATTCAGCTGAATCAATCCTATTTTCTTGGTAAAATGCTCAATGTTATCGATAATCAAATAATCGAATCGTTATGGAAACCAAATTTTCTTTCCGCTCCGATTTCCTTTCTTCTTTTGTTCTTTTGTTTACAAGGAAGGACAAGGACAAGGATGACAAGGACAACAATCATCGTATTAACTCTTAATTATTCGATCGAAAGTATCTAGTTAAAGCTGTATCAAGAGAATCTCTCTCAACACTGACAGAGACAACACTGATAGAGACAACACTGATAGAGACAACACTGACAGAGACAACACTGATAGAGACAACACTGACAGAGATAACACTGATAGAGACAACACTGATAGAGACAACACTGGCAGAGACAACACTGGCAGACTCAACTCAACAAGACATCATTTTACTTCCGAAATTCTGTGAATCCTCACTAAAACTTCTCATTTTTTATCGGAAATCATCGGAATTTTGTATAAAGAGAAATCAATTTACATAATTTAATTGCAAATCAAGGCGTTAGACACAAAAAAAAAGAATACAAAACTTTAACAAAATCATGAAGTAATGTCAACGCGTTGCGATATCGATTTGATGTCGATGATTTTGTGAAAAATCTCAATCAATTTCCCACGCATTTGTTTATTGATTGCTAGCCCAATGTAGGCTTCGCTTAGAGTTGACAAATCCGAGACTAGATTCATCTAAAATCCTTTTCTTTTCAAAGATCAATTATCAATCATGAAAAAAGAAATGAAAAGATAAAACAAACCATAAAGCTAATCATCGTTAATTCGACAAGTTGAAGACCAAAAGTCTGAAATAATTCTGAAATAAACTTTAGCTTTTTTCTTTTCACATACAACGAAGAGCCAAAGGCCGAGTTGAGTGATCATTGTGCAGAAACAGATAAAGAAAAGATTCAATTTCACTCGACTCCACGAATTATCTCTAGAAGATTTTATAAATCTACAATTTTGTGCTTCAAAAAAAATCGATTTAAAACCTTGTCTTTGTTCTTCTCAAAAGAAACAATTTGATAAGAATCAATATGTTGATGCCGAGTGAGATAATTGGATAAATAAAGCTCATAAATTTCACGATATATATCGAAATCAAGTATTCCTGAAAAGTTATTGATAAATAGATGTCGTTGAAACTCGCAAACTAAACATGAATCTCAGGAGATTCATGATAATGATTCGAGTTTCAACGACATCAATTTATCATCTGAGGTTCCCCCTTCGATTTTGATGCTGCGCTCAAGCGCATGCTATACCTTCAGTTTAAGCTTTCATTTACAATCAATTTGGATTTAAACAATCAGTTACCCTTTGTATTGCTAATTTTGTATTGCCAACGTTGGCAGATCTAGGGATACCCCCATAGGGATACCCCCATAACTGGGGATAGGGATACCCCCCTAGGGATACCCCCCAATTGTATACCTGTATCCTAGGGATACCCCCATAAATGTATAACTGTATCCTAGGGATACCCCCGATAAATGTATACCTGTATCCTAGGGATACCCGCAGATGTATACCTGTATCCTAGGGATACCCCCGATAAATGTATACCTGTATCCTAGGGATACCCCCAAATGTATACATGTATCATAAAGAGACCTCAAAAACTCATTGCAGATTCAGAATCACCGTGAAAAACAGCATCAGATAGGCTATTTGCTGAGTCAGAAAAAGTTAACAACATTCCCTAGTCAGATAAACAATGATTTACATCCACGATCGTTCTTCCTTGCACCACTGTGTCACCGACTCGAACATAGAGGCTTCCTTTAAGGAAAAAGTATTGATAAGAGAATAGAATTCCGATTAGATATGTGAGAAGAAAAGCGAAGTTGATGTTTCGTGGAATCCAGAGCTAAAGTTCATTGTTTTTCTTTTTCTTTTTCTTTTGTACGAAGTCTTTTAATAGTAAGTATAGTTTAAAAGACTGAATTCTTTTTTCCTACCAACTTTTTGATGATAAATCGGTAAATAAACACTGGTGAAACGATTTAAATGCATCAAAATTTGAGCAAAATTTTGAATATGAAATGCGGCTCCTTGAAAAACGATAAATAAACGAAATGGCCAAAATGTTTGCTCGATTTGGGTATAGAATGAGGTTAAAGCACGCAGTGTCGGCAATTTAAGTGTGATAAATGTATTGATATAGGTGAGAAGATACTGGAGAATATAAAAGATTTATTTTCGATTATTTTCTTACTTAATCTTACTTGTTCTTTATCGTTTCTGTTTTTTCGTTTCTTTATCGTTATTGTTTCTTATTTGTTCTTGTTCTTAATGCTTATTTAAAGTGTGTTTTATAATTTCAAAAAAAAAAAAACCATTGACCAGCATCATCACTTCACAAAAGAATCATTGAGCGATTATTTTCTTACTTTTTCTTTAATCGTTTCTGTTTTTGCGTTTCTTTATCGTTATTGTTTCTTACTTGTTCTTTATCGTTTCTGTTTATCGTTTCTTTATCGTTATTGTTTCTTACTTGTTCTTGTTCTTAATGTTTATCTAAAGTGTTTTATAATTTCAAAAAAAAAAAAACCAAACCACAATTAGTGTAAATGCGTAAACTCTATAGAAAGATGTTTGAAGGAGAGTTTTATTGATGAGAATGCAAATGATAAGAGATAAGTTTAGAATTGCTGATGGGATACCATAAATACAATAAATAAAGAAATAATATTCCATTTTCGACAATAAAATGATAAAGATTTTTTTCTGATATACCTTTTCTGAGGAAGTGAAATTCGCCTGTCTAGTGATCTAAAATAATTGAAAAATTTCTTGCAAAAAGATTCGAGATTTTTGAAGATAATTGGGCCATGTCTAGAAGCTATTTCAAAGAATTTCAAAACATTTTTCTTATTTCAATTTTGAGAATAAATAAATTGAATTTGGGTGTGAATCTGGGCTTCAGTTGCTTCATTAATTGAACGCATTAGCTTTATAGTTCCTTTATAGTTCCTTTATAGTTCCTTTATAGTTCCTATAAAGTTCCTTTATAGTTCCTTTATAGTTCCTTTACAGTTCCTTTATAGTTCCTATAAAGTTCCTTTATAGTTCCTTTATAGTTCCTTTATAGTTCCTATAAAGTTCCTTTATAGTTCCTTTATAGTTCCTTTATAGTTCCTTTATAGTTCCTATAAAGTTCCTTTATAGTTCCTTTATAGTTCCTTTATAGTTCCTATAAAGTTCCTTTATAGTTCCTATAAAGTTCCTTTAAAGTTCCTTTATAGTTCCTTTATAGTTCCTTTATAGTTCCTTTATAGTTCCTATAAAGTTCCTTTATAGTTCCTATAAAGTTCCTTTAAAGTTCCTTTATAGTTCCTTTATAGTTCCTTTATAGTTCCTTTATAGTTCCTATAAAGTTCCTTTATAGTTCCTATAAAGTTCCTTTAAAGTTCCTTTATAGTTCCTTTATAGTTCCTTTATAGTTCCTTTATAGTTCCTATAAAGTTCCTTTATAGTTCCTATAAAGTTCCTTTAAAGTTCCTTTATAGTTCCTTTATAGTTCCTATAAAGTTCCTTTATAGTTCCTATAAAGTTCCTATAAAGTTCCTTTAAAGTTCCTTTATAGTTCCTTTATAGTTCCGGCTTTTGTTTTCTAAAGAGTAAATAAGAAAACCAAGAAAAGGGTAGAAAAGTCAAAACAAAAGTCGTTTGCTAGAATGCATTTGACGACTCGATGGCACATTTCTAATATCCAAGGCATTTTTCGATCACCAGCATGCTAGTCAATGTTGACTAGGAAAGCGCATGAATTGGCCACAGTTAGGGCTAACAACATAGCGCATTTTATTGAAAAATATTAGCTGATTTCAAATATGCTATCAAAAATCACGAAAAGGTTTGTGAAAATCGGTTAAAAATGATCTCAAAGTTGATTAGCATTAGCGAACACTTTCAACTTTGAAGCTTTGAAACTTTGAAGAACTTTGAGAAGAAAAGCTGATTAGCTTTGAAGAGCTTTTAAAAGAAAATTTGATTAGCGTTTTTAGAATTAATTACTATAAAAATCCTTTTTGTGCTCCATTATTGTGGAATAATTGTGTGTTGTGTGAGTTGTGTTGTGTGAAAAATTCCGGGATCGGGGCGATCGTGGAAGTGAAAAAAAAAGAGGAGTGAGACAGCGAAATCCGCGGGGCGATCGTCATTATGAGGCCTGGGTCCAGGGAATTGGAAAAGACTCCCCTTAGCTTTGGCTGCTATCAATAAACAACTTTAGAATGGTGTTCTGAAGATGATCGGACAACAAGCGGAAATACTGTCAGCTTTTGGCATAAAATTATTGATTCAAGGAATGAGGATTTGGATGGCATAGAGAAGGTTCATTGATTGAAATCCAGGCAAAGCCAGCCTAAAGCCAGCCTAAAGCCAGCCTAAAGCCAGCCTAAAGCCAGCCTAAAGCCAGCCTAAAGCCAGCCTAAAGCCAACCTAAAGCAGTCTAGCCAAAATTTTGGTAACAAACTGCAATAGGAAATCATTTTTACCTCACAATAATGTAAATTCTCTTTGACATTTAAACAAAAAACTTTCAGAATCTCTTTCTCACCAATTTTCACTTGATCTACGAAGATGGGAATTTCAAAATTGCCACCGGACAACGAGGCGATTATTATTTGATCTTTCGCTATGCAACATCGTGAATCTTGATTGAATGAATGGCTGTAAATGATTAAAGAAACATCTATTTCATTTAAAACATACCATAAACTTGCCACTTTAAGAAGTTCTGTGTCTGAAAAATTGATTTGTCCCATTGCGTTTCCTAAAAAGCTTTAGACAAGTCATAGATAAGCCAGAGAAATCTAGATTTCATAGCTTTAAAAGAATCTTTATAAAAATGTACAAAAATAGCTATGGCTTTATATTCTTAACCTATCTATAAAGCCGTTTCGTTTCCTAACTCTCTCCTAACTCCTATCATCTCTATTTTATCAAATCTATTCACTTTTTAATCTGTTTCTCTAGCTTTCACATATTTCAAGATGAAGTGAATAGAAAGATAGATAAGATTTGTAGTTTTAAGAAAAGGGGCGACTAAAAAGGGAGAACTTGATCGTACGTGATTCAACTATGACGTATGATCAAGTCTATCACAAGCTAGATGTCAATTGATTAAGCTAATCTACTCATTGCTTGAATTCACTCAAGTTCAAGTGGTTCTTTGGGAAAAGGGGTGTCTTTGCGTCATTGTTTGGAAGAAAAAGAAAGGAGAAATTTCTGGAGTTAGAGGACTTGAGAAAGGACCTAAACATGGAGTGATAACGAGAACTGGATTTGCGAAGTTGGCCGCTCCCCTTCCGCATAAAAGGATTGTTCTGGACCTGGGGTTTCTTCTCGTTTCAACAAAGCCTTTGATATCAGTTTTTTTTCACTATTATAGATTTGTATATAATAGAAATCCATAGCTATTTTTGCACATGTAGCTATTTATGAAGCGATTCTTCTAAAGCTATAAAGGTTAGATTTCCCTGGCTTATCTATGACTTGTCTAAAGCTTTGCTAAACCCTAATTATCTTTCGTCGCATCTGATAATCTTATACATATATATATTAAAGCTACATTCCCTTACCTGTACTTTATCTAGACTTGTTGCAAGAAAGTAGTTTTCTATTGTTATTTATTGTTATTTATTCTTATTTATTCTTATTTTATTCTTATTTCATATTTCTTGAAACTCTTTATTAGAATGTTTATAAATCTGATATCAAATTTTAGTTGAAATGATCATCTTGTTGCCACTAATCTCTTCTCTCTTTTCGCTCACCAACTCAGCGAATCTTCAACGCTTAAAGCGTCAAGTGCAAACTGTTTACATTTGTGGAAGTGGTTTGGGACAATATATCTCAAATTATCGTTGGTTTTAAATACAAATAAAGTTAAGCAAAGCATTAATCCCCATCTCTATAATGACGGTGCGGAGTGTTAGCTTTAGCTAGCTTTGAACGAGTTTTTCTTGACACTGGTTTATGCTACAATGCGCGCTTAGGTATCAAAAAATAGCCCTGAATTTCAGCTATTTTTTGATACCAAAGACGCATCTTTTGAAAGTACGGGCGCTTTGAAAAACAATGAAATACTAAAAACTACGCGACTGAGACTGAGACTACGCGACTGTACGAGGGGGATGGAGTCCAATTACAGTATTTACGGTAGTTGTTGTTGTTCTTGTCAAGTGCAAATTGTTTACATTTGTGGAAGTGGTTTGGATTTGTTAAAATTATCGTTGGTTTGTCATTATCGTTGGTTTTAAATACAAAAAAAGTTAAGCAAGGCATTGATTTTAGCTTGTCAAAATTGGGGATGCGAAAATGGTGGTTGCAATAACGGATGTTCGAATGGGAACTGTCAATACTCGAATGGGGTTAGTCGATTCAGAATTCTTCAACTATAAAGTTTCTAGATCGTTTCACCAACCTTCTACAAACCGTACTCGAATTGTAACTCTGGATGCGGCAATGTCAACTGCAACAACTTCTATGGACAGTATTTAAACGGGTAAAATATTACTTTAGATTATAGATAAATAGAAAAAAATGAAATTTAGATGATTTAGGTGTAGTGACTATTGTACTTTGAATAAACATTTCTCTAAAAGACTCAATCTTTCAGCCAATACATCGCTTACAGTCCCACCAACAACGTCTATTCGGCATGCGCGAGTGCGTGTTGCAATCGACGACAATATCTGCCAATGAATAACTGTTAGTGCTGTTAATTCTTCTTTAGAAAACAAAAGCAAAACAAAACAAAAGCAAAAACTTAGATAACAATATGGTGATTGGTCAAGGAGCCGTACCATTTAATGGAAATGGTTGGAACGTTCCCCAAATCGGTCAAGGAGCTTTTCCAACAGGACAACAACCAATTGGAACGATCAATAATCGTGAGTAACTTGTTGTCTAACTGTAGACTGCTGTAGACTGCTGTAGACTGCTGTAGACTATTGTAGACTGCTGTAGGCTGCTGTAGACTGCTGTAGACTAGTGTAGACTATTGTAGACTATTGTAGACTATTGTAGATACTGCAGATATAGCAATGTTCTTGAGATATAAGAGTAATGATAGTGCGCATGTAAAACAAAGCTTTTAAACGGTGTTTGGATGTGATTTTTATTTATTTTTATTTACTATAAATTTCTACTCTATAACTCTCCTCCCAGTGATCGGATCGACTTGTGGTTGATTTTAAAAGATTCTTCATCAAATTTCGCTTAAGGAAAGTGGCATTTGTTTTGTACACTCATTTGTAAGAACATAGAGAAAACGAGCGTCGAAGTTGACCGGCAACCTGCAGAAGCCGGTCAACTTTAACGGCTTATATCTCATGGTAGAAGCCTCGAATCGACTCACAGTTGGTTTTATGAGAATCCTCATCAAATTTCGCTTAAGGAAAGTGGCATTTGTTTTGTACACCCATTTGTAAGAACATAGAGAAAATTTGTGTCAAAGTTGACTTACTTGCCTGGTGAGGTCAAGTAAAAAATTATATAGTAAAAATTTTAATTTTAAAATCTAGTGCCAAAAAAAAGCTCTTTTCTCGCAAAAACTATTGATTATTTTAAAAGGAATCAATGAAAAATTGAGAAAAAAAAGAGCTTTAGACGCTTGCATAAATGGTCAATGTCCAACTGGATATCAGTGTCAGAATGGTCGTTGCGTGAATCTTTTCACCGCTCCTCTTCTCCGCTGCACTGCTGATGGTGGCTGTGAGAGTGGTTTCAAGTGTGGACCCGGGAATTTGTGTTATCCGACAATCAGTTTGAATTAGAGCTAATTTCTATGGGTTTTATAGGGATTTTTATGGATTTTGATGGATTTTGATGGATTTTGATGGATTTTGATGGATTTTGATCGATTTTGATCGATTTTGATCGATTTTTTCATTTCACCTCTCATTTTCCCTTATTTATTAGACTTATCTTGCATTATTGCATTGTTGCCCTATCTTCTCATCATTCATTTCACTTCTCGGGGTAGGCTAGTTTCCGCAATTTTTTTTGCGCAACTGGGTCATTTGCGCAACTCACCATATCTTTCTTCTAAGTCGGCCAATCTTTATGATTTTGGTGTCATTTTGTTGCACTTGTTGAGATCTATAAAACCACACCAAAATCATAAAGATTGGCCGACTTAGAAGAGAGTTGTGGCGAGTTGCGCAAAAAAATTGGCGCAAAGTAGCCACCCCCGAATCTAGTACCGTTTCTTTCTTCTAAGTCGACCAATCTTTATGACTTTGGTGTCATTTTGTTGCACTTATTGAGATCTATAAAACGACATCAAAATTATAAAGTTTGGTCGACTTAGAAGTAAGTTTTGGCGAGTTGCGCAAAAAAAGCAAAAACTAGCCTATCCCCACTTCTCATCTTGCATTCTATCTTATTTATTCTATTTCTTAAATGAAATTTTTGGTATGATTTTGGTAGCATAGAGTTGAAATTAAAGCTCTAAATCTATTACTTAATTAATAGGATAAATGATTTTTCTTTCACTTTTCGTGTACAAACATTGTAAACAAACAGCAGATCAAATTTTCTATCACATTATAATGTCAAAGATTGGCAAGAGATTTTAAAAAAAGACAAAAAGACAAATCTTTTTGCTAAAACTTTATAGTTTTCACCATTTTCTAATCATTATTGTGAAAAGTTTTTGCAAATCGAAAAGTGATTGTTTATGCCTAAAATTGATGAGTTTGAAGAGTGATTTGGAAAGTAATTTGATATCATAAAATCAACTCGAACAAAATGCTTTGTAAACTAGCAACAATCTCTTTCTCTCATCCATTTTACTAATTGATTTTTCTTTTTTTAGAACTTTTATTCATTTTAATCAAATTTATAGAAAAAGTGGAAAGCTAGAAATCGAGAAAAACAGATGTGGACTCAATTTTCGCTTTTTGGTATGATTTTGGTGGCCATAGAGTTGAAGTTAAAGCTCTCTAAACATTCAAAGATTAAAGCTTAAAGATTAAAGCTAAAGATTAAAGCTAAAGATTAAAGCTTAAAGATTAAATCTTAAAGATTAAAGCTAAAGATTAAAGCTAAAGATTAAAGCTAAAGATTAAAACTTAAAGATTAACAGTTATTTAGAAATGTTTTAGGTCTTTTTTTGAGTTTCGTTGTCGGTCAGTATAACAAAGAGTTGGAAACTGCATTGTTGAAAAGTTGGTTTTTTTTTGAAAACTAAGCAATTCTGCAACTTTAAAAGATTCAGCTTACAATCGAAAGCATCGTCCGGTTAAAAAAGAGTCATCAACAGTGTCGGTGCAAGTGTTTCTAACAATTACGCATGTGGAGAATGTGGTAAGGAAAGGATTGGTTGAAAAGATTGGTTGAAAAGATTGGTTGAAAGGATTGGTTGGAAGGATTGATTGGAAGGATTGATTGGAAGGATTGAATGGAAGGATTGAATGGAAGGATTGAATGGAAGGATTGAATGGAAGGATTGATTGGAAGGATTGATTGGAAGGATTGATTGGAAGGATTGAATGGAAGGATTGAATGGAAGGATTGAATGGAAGGATTGATTGGAAGGATTGATTGGAAGGATTGATTGGAAGGATTGAATGGAAGGATTGATTGGAAGGATTGGTTGAAAGGATTGGTTGAAAGGATTGGTTGAAAGGATTGGTTGAAAGGATCAATTGAGCGAAACAATGGCAAGAATAGATTAAAAGAATGAATTGAAAAGCTAAAGCTAAAGCAAAACTTGTAGAAATCTTAGTATCTTACCAAAACTTAGCCGTAGATCGAATCCTTATCGAATCCGAATCCTTCGATTCGTTCTCAACATTTCAAAACTTTCAGAACGAGCACGAGCAAACAATGTTAGTGCACGGAAATCTGTGGGCCGGTTGGACAGACGAGTACCTTTTATGGGATCCTAAGGTTAAGCTTTAAAATTTTTTTCTTTTTCGATAACTAATTTGAAGTAAACATCGATTTGGACTTGTTATTTGTGAAACTTTTAACAAAAACTTTCAGGAATGGAACAATACAAAAGCCATAAGCATCGACACATACAAGATCTGGCAGCCAGCACTTTCATTGTACAATAGGTAATCAAATTTATGAATTTTTAATGATTATTATAAAGGAAAATGTCTTTTTTTTTTGATTTAATTAAATAAAATCTTGAAATCTTGAAATTTTCTAGTGCTAAAGCAAACGCGTGGTACTTGTACATGCATGGATTACCGGCGATGATCAATTGGCAGGGAAAAGTGCGGTTTAAATGATGTATTTGTTAAATGATTGTTAAAAGGATTGATAAATAAGACCAAATATCGTAGTTTTACTGGAAGAAGTACCTTTTAGAAAAGAAATTACCTTAAATACTAGTATTAGTTTACAGGTTTGGGCAAATGGAGCTTTCTCTTTTCATGTCACTTGTCTTTTCGATTTCAGCAATTGGCCTTATGATGAACAGGTTTGAAAAATCATTTCTCATCAAAAAGAAGATTTTCTCTTTTAGGAATGTCCAATTGTGCTTGCTGATTGGGTCTATGATTTGGCTAAGGTCAATCTGTCAGATCCGATGGTTTGTCATTCTAATTTGTACACTTCAAACGCTTTCAACTAATAGAAAATAGAATAGAAAGCAAATCGAATTTTATTTGACTACAATCAACGCTAAGTTATTATCTATATTATCTATCTATATAATTCTATAAAATTTCAATTTCTAGGGTGAGAGTCCGTGGGCAAAACCGCAAGTGAAGCTCAATTTCGATCCGAGTAATAAAGAAGAGAAAAGACATGTGGCCGGTTTGTTTGTATTTTTTAAAACAAATAGATCTTTAAACGAATCTTTAAACAGATCTTATTCAGATTCAGATCTTTATTCAGATCTTATTCAGATCTTATTCAAATCTTTAAACAGCTCTTTAAACAGATCTTTATTCAGATCTTATTCGGATCTTATTCAAATCTTTAAGCAGCTCTTTAAACAGCTCTTTAAACAGCCCTTTAAACAGATCTAAACAGCTCTTTAAACAGATCTTTATACAGATCTTTATACAGATCTTTATTCAGACCTTTAAACAAATCTTTAAACAAATCTTTAAACAGATCCTTAAACAGCTCTTTAAACAGATCTTTATTCAAAACAGCACACAAATAGGGCTAAGCGTTGATTTTTGGTTTTAACTGTGATTGACTTTTTTTTTTTGACTTTCTTTGCATCTCCTTTGTTCTCACAATCGTCTCAAATTCTCCTCAAAGAGCGCGAATTGATCCAGATTCATCGGGAGAATTGGAATCGCTTCCTAAACAGTTTATTTGAAATTTAAAAATCTTAAACTAAACTTGGGATAAGGAATGGTCTAGATAAGAAAAAGGTAAAAAAGAAAAAGAGTAAAAATCTAGTTGAAATCAGTGAATGTGGTTAAAAGGGCCGCTAAATGAGGCCAAAAGGGCCTAAATGGGCCCCTAAATAAGCCTAAATAGGCTTAAAAGGACAAATGACCAAATACAAAAAGTCTTAGATCCAAAACAAGGATCAGAAGATTCGTTTTTACTAGCAAAAAAGCGCACTTGACTTACAAAAAGTGCTTATGAGCTTTGGCTTTTGGCTTTTGGCTTTTGGATGAGCTTTTGGATGAGCTTGAATGAGCTTTTGGATGAGTTTGGATGAGCTTTTGGATGAGTTTGGATGAGCTTTTGGATGAGCTTTAATCGTGTCTTGTTTTTGGATAGTAATTTAGTTTACCTGATATGCGTTTAACCCTCGTTTCTCTTCTCGCTTCTCTGCATTCATCCCTTGCCAATCGTACCTAGAAAAGTTTATTCAAAAAAAAAGAAGAAAAAGAAAGCAGCTGATAAATCTCAACGTTTTTTTTCTCACCATTTCTTTTGCATTTCCATATCAGCTCCATTCCAGTTGTACCATTTCTTTTGTCGCAATTCGTTTTGTCTTAAATTTAGAGATATGAAAAGAGAAATGTGTAGGTTAAAGGTTTTCTGAAATTCATAAATTCACAAATTCACCTGTTATTTGGATAAGCTGAAACAACGATTGGTTGACTGATCAAAGAAAAGATAAGAATGGAAAGGCAGCTGAGCAGCGGTATAGGCAACATTTCTAAAAAGAATTGAAAAAGTTGGTTATTAGAGGTCATTAGAGGTCATTAGAGGTCATTATAGGTCATTAGAGGTCATTATAGGTCATTATAGGTCATTATAGGTCATTATAGGTCATTATAGGTCATTATAGGTCATTATAGGTCATTATAGGTCATTAGAGGTCATTAGAGGTCATTATAGGTCATTAGAGGTCATTAGAGGTCATTAATTAATCTATTTTCATTACTAGAATGAAAATAGATTAATTAAGGTCATTACTAGAACCAAAATTACGAAATTTTGAAATAAGCTTAATGAAATTCTCATTTTTCTAAAGAAATCAGATCAAGATAAATAAAAAAGGGTAATTAAAAGTCATCAGTCAAAAATCAAAGTTGAACAAAATCCTCTAGACGGTTTTTGTCTTGATCAAGGCTACTTTCAAAACATTACTAGATCTTATCTAAGTATCTCAATTTGTAAAGTGATTAATTTCTTGAAAAATGAGAAGAAAATCTCTTCACTTACCAGGAAAAAGAATTGTGAAGAGTTGCGGACCGCTTTTTGAATTGAATGAGAGAAAATGGGAATCGAGACTCAATTTGAATTGAATTCAAATCCAGACCGCCCCCCTTTTTCTTGCATATTTTAACGCAAACCTCTTTAACGTCTTTAAAAGAAAAAAAAAATTTGCTAATGGGGCTTTGATTTAAAGAAAGAAAGAGAAAGAAAATCTCTTTTTAGATTTATTTTTTTTTTAAACACTTACAGCTACGGTGAGATGACGGGGTTTTAGGATTCAAAAATGAATTTGGCTTTCGTTCTACCTCTGGCTTTTGCACAGTTTTGATCATTTAAGACTTGGGTTTTGATTTTGAAACATGGCAAAGTTTCAAATCATTCTTTAAGTCACCTACAGTATGTACAGTGGTCCACAAAAGTATTGTCCCATTGCCATCCAAAAGTTTCTTTCGTACGAAAATCTTGCAAAATAACGATATTCCCAAAAAGTGTAGGGTATTCTGCTTACCCATAATCCTCTACTTTTCAAGATTATAAGATTTATCCGTATACATTGCAGAAAAATGAAAGTATAAAACAAAAACAATAAGTTACTTAACAAATAGCCCCACAAAAGTAATGTCCCACTTGATTGATTGACACAAAAATCAAATAAATTGATTTTTGTCTCATCGGTAAATAACACTTTCGCCCAATCACGTGTCGTCCAATTTCGGTAGGTCCGTGCAAAGTCAAGGCGCTGCTTACAGTGCTTAGATTTTATCAGAGGTTTACGGGCAGCCCATCTTGCATATCATCCAGCTTGATTTAATCGTCATCTGATCGTTTCCGGCTATACAACCCTGCTAAATTGATCCCTCATCATTCGGCTTCCATCGGTTGGTGCTTTGTTAGGATCGTTTTTCACCATTTGGATCACGGCTCGATCTTCTTTTGTTGGTTGGTCGTCGGTCACTCTTGAGGCCTCGATGAAGGTTTCGGTCGACTTTTGATTGAGAAAGAATGCGGCGCACCGTCCTTCTCGAGCAATTGAAGAGGTTGACCACAACCTTTTCCCGCATCCCATTTTCCCGGGGGCATTGGCGATTCGGAGTGTCAAGGTTTTTCTTGCCAGCCATCTAAATAATAAAATAAAATACATTTAATGTTCATAGAACGCGAAAATAAAAAGAATAATCAAGGAAAACATCAATGGGACATTACTTTTGTGGGGCTATTTGTTAAGTAACTTATTGTTTTTGTTTTATACTTTAATTTTTCTGCAATGTATACGGATAAATCTTATAATCTGCATTTGCATTAACAATTTACATTGGAATATTCAATTCTTTCAAATAACATTCTGAATTTGAATGAATCCCATTCTAAATCCCGTTCTCAATCCATTCTCAATATCGTTTACGGTACCTCTCTCTTCCAAAATCACCTAATCAAAGAGAATGGGATTGTTGAGAATTTGAAAGTAAAGAGGTAAAGAGATAAACAATTTCTTTAGTAGAGTGTCCTCACGAGTAATTTCTTTTTTAAAACGCACACTTAGGAAGAAAGGACCGTACTTTTAGCAAAAATTATTGCAAAAAAGTCACGAACGATGATTTATATACGACTCTAAAGATATTCAGCCGTTTAACTGACCTTGGTGACAAATTCTCCTTCACAAGTAAAGATATTCAATTTAAAAGTGTAAAGAGGATCACTCGTAGTCGATTAATCGAGTAGAAATTACTCGTGCTCAAATTTTACCCGAGTAAATTACTTACTCGCCGAGGAAAACACTCTAATCATAACTGTACGATAGAGTGAATGCACATAAAATTTCCGTATTCTTTCAAGAAGCACTTTTCAAGCCAATTTAAGAAGTAAACCTTACGGACTTACGGACTTCCTATGAAGAATTTCTTAGGAAGTCCATAAGTCCGTAAGGTTTACGTAAGCCAATTTCTTATCTATATAAGAAAAGCTCGATTTTTACTTACTCACAAAGGAAAACACTCTAGTTTTTAGGCTGGGAGGTGTATGACGCTTGGCGACGTCATTGTTATTGGGGACCAACCGGCTGCAAGAATGAGGTCCCAGATGGAAATGTGAGTGAAATAAAAGGAAAACATACCGTTACTCTGGAAATTCTACAGCTCTCTGTTCTCTTTGACATTGATATTTACTCGAGATTTTTAGCCCGAATGGTACTGGTCACTGCTCGAGTTTGGGGTGAAGCTTCGACGCCATGCGCCCTATTTTGTTCTCACTGTCGTTTTGCCTACGGTAATAGAGCTCTTTAAGCGCTATAGCAGCCTGACCAGGTGGCCGACCGGGTAGCAGTCTTGTCTCTTAAGCGAAAGGTCGACGGTTCGATTATGCTGACAAGCTAGAAATCTCTGTTTTTCTCCACCAAGCGGTTCTTTTATTTGTTTCTTTATTTATTTTTAATATCATTGAAAGTGTCGCCTTAAAGACCAGATTTAAACTAAAATTTAGACTCAAATTTAGCCTCAAATTTAGCCTCAAATCAAAGCCTAGAAATAGGCTTTTTCCAGTTTTTTACTGCACCCAGAATATCTGAAACTTGAATACTTTTCATTGAAAATTAGAGAAAAAAAGCAAAAATCTTTCTTTTTCAATGACTTCATCGCCATTCTCAAAACCCACACAATCGCCATTTCAAAAGAATTCCTAAGATTTCGGTTGAGAATTCGGGAAATCACCTCCGGAAAAGCTCATTTTCGAGAGAAAAAAAAAGAGGAATTCTTGATGAAACGAGAGAGAAATCGAGCCGGATGCGCAAATTGGCTTTACGTTTTAACGCTTTTAGTGAGGGTAATGAGCTGAATTTTTTGAGAAAAATCATTGAATGAACAAACGAAATCGTGATTTCTGAAATGGATTTGGTGAAATGAAGGAAAGAGGAATGAGGGAAAGATGTTGAGGTTGATTAGAAAAGTCATTGATTAGAAAGCACTGATTAGAAAGCACTGATTAGAAAGCACTGGTCAACAACAACAACTCTGAATAGTTTTGTCTTTTGCTTTCAAATGAAAACATTTCAGTTCCTCTCCTGTTTGCTGACGTTGGCCTCGTTTTGGATCGACACCCCGTCGATGGCTGTTGGATTGAACGTGTTCAATATATTGTTGCAAGGTAAGCAAACAAAGTAGATTCATTAATGTCATTGTTTAGGCCTTTTCGGATGGGATTTGATTCGCGAGTTGCCACCTGGTTCGGGAAGTGTGCCGAAAATCGGTGAGTGGCAAGCGGAAAGATATAGCTCGACTCGGAAAGATATTCAGCTCGACATTTTCAATCACTCACTTCACATATGATTCATAATGACTCTTGATTACGCTAGATTACGAATTTGACTTGATTCATATCCCAAATTTAACTCCAAATTTAACTCAAAAATTTTGTTGACATAATGTTGTGTTTGACACTAGATCTAGGCTGTTTCAGTCTGCTTGCTTCCTGCTTTCCTAGTTTCTCAACTGATACCAGCCTGAAACTGAGGAAATTATTGCGATTTAAAAGTTGGCGAATTTACAAATTTATCCCTTCAGTTTCCCTCTACGGATTGAATCTCTCGCTGACGGCGATCGCTTTCACTTTGCACGTTTTCATGCAATATTTCGAATTCATTTTGCCAAAAGAGTTCACCATTCCATTGCCAAAGGTGCAGTTTGTTTGTTGATTTGTGAAAATAATCTTTTTCTTCTTCTAGATTGGTGAATCTCTCACAAAACTCTCACAATATCAACTCTTTAAGTCAAAAGGGCTTACCTTTGACCCACAAACGTGAGTTTTTATTGTCAAGTGGCGCCAGAAGAGATGCGTTTCTAGAATAAAAAGTCTATTGATCTGATAAAGCTTTCAGTCTCCTCCAAAACGAGAACTTTGACGAGACGATGTATAGCTATGATCAATCGTTGCCAAAAGTCTCTTCAGGGATCTCGCTTGGTTCCGGATCGGTGGTTGGTTGTTGTACAATTGGTGAACCGGCTATTGTATAGAGTTATTGAGCCGGCTATTGAATAGAGCTATTGAACCGGCTATGGAATAGAGCTATTGAACCGGCTATGGAATAGAGCTATTGAACCGGCTATGGAATAGAGCTATTGAACCGGCTATGGAATAGAGCTATTGAACCGGCTATGGAATAGAGCTATTGAACCGGCTATGGAATAGAGCTATTGAACCAACTATTGAATAGCCGTTTAGGGATAATACCCGATAAACAAGATCGTTCAAAATCATTCAAAATCGTTTAAAATCGTTTAAAACCATTCAAAACCATTCAAAATCATTCAAAATCATTCAAAATCATTCAAAATCATTCAAAATCATTCAAAAATCATTTAAAATCATTCAAAATCATTCAATCGTCCATACCTTAAGCTATATCTTAAGCTTTCAAATGAAAATCCACAAATGAACTCGCTTGGATCAGCGGATGGTTTGGTGGATTTGGGTGATGATGGGAATGGAGGACAGAGTGTAGAAGAAAGAGAACAACCAAATGGACAAGGTTTGGGGGAATATTGCTTTAAACACTTTCTTTTACTGATCTTTTACTGATCTTTTACTGATCTTTTACTTTGTAATCAATCCCCAATGAGATTTCCAGTTGAAACAGTGATGACAATTGTTGGAAACGAATCGATCGCTGTTGACACTAGCTCCCCACTCACTCAACAAATCTTCCTCATTCGACGCACCGTTTTCTGTTTGATGGCCATTATTTATGGGATTGCTTTCCCAATTTGTACAATTAATTGGTTTTAAGTAAAAATTAAGCAATTTTTTTTTGAGTAATTTCGAAGAATAAAGTGTTTTTTCGACATTGATCTTTCAAAAGAACTGAAAAACATTTGAAAACATTTGAAAACAAGTGAAAAACAAGTGAAAAACGATCTATAAACAACCTATAAACAATCTATAAACAATAAATATATGTTAAAAATGATCTACTAGATTGTTCGATTGTTTATAGATTGATTTGATGGGTCAAGCGGTGGAGAAAAGTCGCGTTCTTGTTTCAACTCTAAAACTTAACCTATACATTGACAATATGATACTGTTAATGGAAAGTAAACTGCTCTTGACTAGAGTCGTTTTAGAGTTGAAACACGGCTTGGCTCCACCACTTGGTCCATCAAATCAATCTATAAACAATCGAACAATCTAGCAGATCATTTTTGACATCTATAATCAATTTTGATATAAATGACATGTTTAAGGAAGATTCTTTGGCTTTAACTCCATTGAAACAAGTGTCCAGTTGTGTCCTTTCCATTGATGAGAGCTTGTCTTTCTATTATAATCATTTCTAATATAAATGACATGTTTCAATGGAGTTAAAGCTAAAGAATCTTCCTTAAAAAAATGTTCTTTTTTTTTTTTTCTTTTTTTTGGTTTTTCTTTTTTTTTAATAATAATCCCTCTCAGAAATGACACGTGTTTAGGGAAGATTCTTTGGCTTTAACTCCTTCAAACAAGTGTCCAGTTGTGTTCTTTCCATTGATGAGAGCTGTCTTTCAATTATAATCATTTTGGATATACATGACATGTTTAGGGAAGATTCTTTGGCTTTAACTCCTTCAAACAAGTGTCCAGTTGTGTTCTTTCCATTGATGAGAGCTTGTCTTTCCCCTTCTCCCTTTCCTCTCCAAATGTTTATTCTGATCATCAAGAGATTCTTGTTTTCATTCTTTTTTTCTTAAAAGTCTTCTTTTTTTAGATTGTCAGATCACTTTCCTTTCCTCATTTTTCACAAATTTTTTCATTTTTTTAAGTTTTTCTTAAGCTTTATACTTGAGTTGAAGAAATATGATAAGTCTTTTGTGGTTGCTTTATTAAACGCTTTCTAATTCACCGAATTCTTTATTTTCCATAAATATCACCATAATTATTGATTCAATGCACTATAAAAGGATAGGTTATTCAGAAAAGTTCAGTTTGTTTCATTTCATTTTATTGTTCATCAATTAATCTACCGATTTTTAACATAAAAAAGCTTTTGTGATTATTTTAAATGTAAAATATTAGGTTATTCAGAAAAGTTCAGTTTGTTTCATTTCATTTTATTGTTCTTTAAAAAAAAATGAATCTATTCATCAATTAATCTACCGTAAATACTGTAAAAGTACTTTACCGCCCTCGTACAGTTGCGTAGTCGCAAAAGAGTTTTTTAGTATTTCATTGTTTTTCAAAGCGCTCGTACTTTCAAAAATGCGTCTTTGGTATCAAAAAAAGCTGAAATTCAGGGCTATTTTTTGATACGTAAGCGCGCATTTTAGCATAAACCAGTGTCAAAAAAACTCGTTCAAAGCTAGACTACGCAACGCTCCGCACCGTCATTATGGAGATGGGGTAATATTACAGTATTTATGGTATGATTTTCTTGAAATAAAAAGTATTTCTTATTCAATTTCTCATCTTTTAAACTCAATTTCCGTTTACTTTTTTGCAAATTCGACATTGAAAATCGGTGTTTTTCGCAAAAAAAATCTCTAAAATCTCTAAAATCTCTACAAAGAAATTTGTTGAATGAATTTCTCTGAAATTAATCTATATATAAACTCTTTTATCCTCTATCTTTTATCTATAAACACTAAAATAGATTTCTTTAGCTAAAAGCTGTCTAAACCGAGCTCATCAAAGAGTTGTCGCTCTCTTTTCCTTAGAATTCGACTTTAGATTTTACCAAAAAAAACATTTAGAAACCTCATTTGTTACTCGTTTTAATGTTATTTTAAAGAAAAATTACCGAAAATTGATTTTTCTAATGAAAAAAACTAAAGTTTAATTGGTTTTAAACAAAAAATTGAATCAACTCACGGTCACTTTTATTAGAATCTACATGAAATTTAATTAAAGAAATATCGAATCTGTTTTGTAGACTTACGGATAAAAACATAGAGAAAATGAGGGTTAAAGTCGAGATAAGTGTCTACCCCTCCTCAGAGATTTGTCTAGAGGGGGGGTAGACGACTCTTCTCTTTCCCGCCATATCTCAACTTCCAGTTGACCGATCAACCTGTGGTTGGTCTTAAAATGTTCCTTATGAAATTTCGTTATAGAAATCCACAACTTACTTATTACACTTTAATATAAAAACATAGAGAAAATCTCAGTCAAAGTCAGACTACCTACTTGAAAGGATCGATCCACTTAAAAGGTCTATAACTCAAAATGTAAAAGCTGAACGGTCACTTTTATTAGAATCTACATGAAATTTGATTAAAGAAATATCAAATCTGTTTTGTAGACTTACGGATAAAAACATAGAGAAAATGAGGGTTAAAGTCGAGATAAGTGTCTACCCCTCCTCAGAGACTTACTTGACCCCCCTCAGAGAATCTGAGTATGACGACCCTTCTCTTTTCCTCCATATTTCGATTTCTAATTGTCGAATCGACTTGTGGTTGGTCTTAAAATGTTCCTTATGAAATTCGGTTATAGAAAACCATAAGTCATTTAATACACCTTAAAACAAAAAGTACGAAAAGAAAGCAAAAGATTTTCTAAATTCAAAACTGTTTTTTTTTGCTTTCTTTTCTCCGTTGATCTTTATCATTTTCAATCAAAGCATATTTTGAGTCCATTTTTAGAGAGTTTCTTTTTAAGTTTCTTCTTTCTTCTTTTTCTCTTCTTAAGATTCATATGTCAACATTATTGACTATTGCACGTTAAACGCATTGATAAGAGATCATTTCTTTCTTTCAGTAATCCAGTTATGCTTTTATTTATTGAAGAAAAAACCGTAACGAACTTTGAAATCGTAGCATTGAAATCCTGGCATTGAAATCTTGATATTGAAATCTTGATATCGAAAGCTTGACATTGAAATCTTGGCATTGAAATTCTGGCATTGAAATCTTGGCATTGAAATTCTGGCATTGAAATCTTGGCATTGAAATCTTGACATTGAAATCCTGGCATTGAAATCTTGGCATTGAAATCCTGGCATTGAAATCTTGACATTGAAATCTCGACCTTGCCATCTTCTAAAATTTCTAATTCAAATCGTGTCCACTCTATATTTCTCTTTTCTTTCTTTTCCCCCGATCAGAATCGATGACAAATCATGTGAATTATGCACCGATTTTCCCTTTTTCTTTTCACTTAAAGAAATCCAATATATTTCTTTCCATTTTTGCCTTTTTCATCTTTTTTCTTTGACATTTTATTTATTTGATTACTCATTTTTCATTAGCTTCCCTACTATGTGCTAAATTTTTAAACATATAGTTTTTTGTGCAGCTCAAATTTCTTCTGACATCAGTTGTCGCATCAAAAAGTGTGTGTGGCATTAGTTAGTGAAACAAAAAGTGTGGGTGGCATCAAAGTGTGTGGGGCAACATAAAGGTGTGCAATTATAAGCCATCAGTTGTTGCATCAAAAGGTGTGGGTGGCATCACTTGCTGCATGAAAAAGTGTGTTTGACATCACTTGCTGCATGAAAAAGTGTGTTTGACATCACTTGCTGCATCAAAAAGTGTGTTTGACATCACTTGCTGCATCAAAAAGTGTGTTTGACATCACTTGCTGCATCAAAAAGTGTGTTTGACATCACTTGCTGCATCAAAAAGTGTGTTTGACATCAGTTGATGCACAAAAAAGTGTGTTTTTCTAGATTTTGTTTCTTTTCCTACAAAACATTAAATAGTTCTAGTTAATTTCAAAGAGAACAACTCAAAGGTAGTTGAAAGATAAGAAACATTCAAAAATGTTTTTTAAAGCCGAAATCGATCTCACCGGAACCGAGTGAAAATGTTTTTCGAAAAAAAAAAAAATCAAAAACGCAAATTGAAAAGTCGAAATTTTTCTCTCAAATTTTAAGATATTTGAGTATTTTCAAAGAAATAATTTCAAAATACTTAAATAAAACGAAAATTCGTTTGTTTATTCGTTAGTTTATTCGATTTTTGATTCGATTTTTGATTCTATAAAGCTGTAGAATGATCGAAAAATCATCAATTTAACTATCTCATTGTCTATATTTGGGCTGGGTCGATTCGATCGTGGTGACTGGGTCAATTCGATCGTTTGGGATTACAAAAAGAGAGCATTTTGGGGCGAGATTTGAGTATTTTCAAAGAAATTTCTTTCAAAATACTTAAATAAAACGAAAATTCGATTGTTCATTCGATTTTTGATTCTATAAAGCTGTAGAATCATCGAAATCATCGAAAATTCTTTTACTATGCTAAAATTTCAATTGAAAGGATTGAAAGAACTGAAGGTAATGAAGATATTAAAAAGTTTTTAACAAAAAATATTCCTTTATTTCTTTCTTTCTTTTTCAATTAGGGAAATTGAGATTTCCACTTTGAAAAAAACGCTTTTAACTGGGGAAAAATTTGCCAACCTATTGGAGACAAAAATTCCTTTATTTTCTTTTTTTTCTTATTTTTCTTATTTTTTTCAATTCTTTATTTTACTTCAGCTTTCTCAAACTTTTAATTTTTAGAAATGAACCAACAACAGCAAAACAATCGATTTTACGATCAATCACCTTCAATGAAGCGTTTTCATGACAGAACAGAGTCGACTAATGAGAAATCGAGGTTCGATTAATGTATTCAACTTTTCTTCATTTTCTTCATTTTCTTCATTTTCTTCATTTACTTCATTTTCTTCATTTTCTTCATTTACTTTGTGCTCTTTCTAATGCATGGAAAGCTTTCCCTATTTTCTTTGTGGCATTATAAACTAAAAGAAAGATGATCTCGCGTACTCGATTCTCTATTTTCTTTTAGTTCATTATCATCTTTAGA